GGGGCCTGGGGGAGGGCCTCCACCCTGCCAGGAAAGGCCTTGGAGGACTCCCAGGGAGAGGGGACACCCAAGTTGAGTCTTAAAGGACGGTAAGAACCGCACTACCTGCAGAGGGAAGTAAGGACTGGAAAGGAATGCAGGTGTGAAAGGAAGAGCTTGGCCCTCTTCAGGAAGCCAAGTCCCCGGCGAGGAGGGGCTTCAGGCGTGAGGCAAGAAGTGGCAGGAGAGGCAGGTAGAAACCAGTCTCCGGAGAGTCATAGGTCAGGCTCCGGGGTCTGCGCTTCGCCCAAGGACGACTGCGAATCTCCCAGAGCCTTTCCACAGGGAATGCAGAACAGGGCCTGAACGGGTGGATGGAAAGAACACAAAGCTGCCCACACAGGCCGGATGCCAGACTCGGGAGTTTTCACGCCCAGTCATTGGTTAGAATCAACAGGGAGCTTCAGAAAATGACAAAGTCTAGACTGGGTGCAGGTCGCACCCTGGGAGGCCAAGGCAGGAGGGTGGCCTGAGGCCAGGCGTTCAAGGCCAGGCAAGGTGACACAGTGAGCTCCTGTGTCTACCAGAAGTTTTTAAAACCAGCTGGGTATGGTGGCACGTGCCTGTAGTTCCAGCTTCTCAGGAGGCTCAGGCAGAAGGATCACTTGAAGCCAGGAGGTTGAGGCTACGGTGAGCCATGATCGCCCCACTGCGGTCCAGCCTGGGTGACAGAGCGAGACCCGCTCTCCATAAATCGATAAAATTTTAAAGTAAAAGTGACTATGATTATGCCTGTGAATAGCCACTACACTCCAGCTTGAACAACACAGCCTAGACACTGTCTCTACCAGAAGAAGAAAACAAAAACGAACAATGGGGGCACCTCCTGGCACAAACAGATCTCAGTCTTGGAGGTGGGCCCTGGCACACGTATTCGTCTACAGCCCCCCGCGTAGTTGGGCTGGGCCACCAACCAGACGGCCTGAGAGAAAGAGGACTCACCCGATGTCTGGCAAGCATGCTTCCCTGCAGACACTGATATCGATCCACGAAGAAAAGAACTACCCAGGTCAGCACCAGGGAGAGGAGGAACGCAACGAAGAAGCCCGCTGCATGGAGGCCATGGTGTGGCAAAACCTGTGGGGACAAAAGATAGAGGACTCGTGCCCAGTCACACTTTATGTCTCCCGAGGCATGGGGATGACCAGGAGTCTGAGCAGAGCAAGCAGGGGGCCCGCGAGCTCACCTGTGTCCTGGAGGACTTCCCTGGTCCTCTCTGAACCCGAGTTTCCTCAGTGCACTAAGCAGGATGGGCACCTCCAGGAGCGGATGCATGGCGGCCTGCACACAGTAGGGCCATCCAGCCCCAAGTCCGGGCACATCACAGGCACTCAAGAATGGCAAATTCCCAAACCAAACATGTGACCATCCTCAGACCGTGGGGCCATGACATTTTTCGAGAGTTAGGGGCAGAATTTTGCAGGAGGAAGGGGGAGAGACCACAGCACCCTCACCTTCCCGCTACACCTTTGTTGATTAGACAATTAAACCTCATTTCTTACTGCATCAGGTTTAGGGAATGTCCCTTTTCTTATTACTAAGAGAAACAGTGGCATCAGCGCCCTACAGGCGCCTCCATTGGCCCTTCCCCACTCCTGCCCTCCAGCATTTTGCAGGCTGATAACATACACATTTTGTTCTGCAACCACAATGCAGTCTTTGTGTTTGTTTATAGGTTAATCCTAGAAACTACAAGTTGGAAGAGATCGTGTCATTCTATGGTTAGGCAAGTGTGAATCGTGGCAGAACAAAATAAGTGGATGCGCTCCTGTGGCTCAGGATCTGTTCCTCAAAAGTGTGCGTTTCCAGTGAAGTCCCCTTGCTCACGCTTTATCAGTCAATCCACACATTGCTGCAGTTGTTAGTGTGCTTGGATTCGGGTGAAGCTTGCCTTGTGTAACTTTTGTCTTGCCTCAGGTTTCTCGTTGCCTTTCTTTCTTCTTCCTGGTATACACCCATTAATGACGCCCTCCGTCACCGAGAGTCAAATCTATGTTTTCTTAGAGTCATTATGACCAGAGTGCTCTGGCTTTCTGACTGAGTCAGACCCGTCTACCCTCTCGACTTGCCGACAGCTGCCCGGCCGGGCTTTCTCTTCACTGCCTTTCACATCACCACAGCGCCGCAGGCGGACGAAGACTGCATTTCTCGCATCCCACGGACCGGCTTTTCTTGGATACTTTTCTTTTCATTTCGGTGGCGCATCCTCAGTATTTACTACTCTTAAGTAAATTTGTTGAGAAAAAGTGTTATTTTCTCACATGCCTGACAATGTTGTCACTTTGTCCTCATTTCAGTTGATAGCTTGGCTGGGTATGAACTCAAGGTCCAAAACCACTTTCCCTCAGAATGTCGATGGTGTCACTCCACTGTCTTATGGCGTGAGTGTGACGAACAGCCTTTTAGAAGGATCTGGTTTTGCTTTCTGGGTGCTTTTAAGTTGATCTCCATTCCCCCATAGCTCTGAATACTCAACCACTTAAAATGAGAGTTTGAATACATTTAAATTGATATAAAAAGGCTTCCATCCTGATGTAACTTTGTAAAAACTACACATAACTATATACACAGTATAGCCCCAAGTTCACTAAAACTGATATGATACATAGCTATGCATATGTAAGTTACAGAGAAAATCCTCAATAATTCTTAGGATTTGATTTCTTAATTAAGTTTTCCATCTTCATGCTTCTGTATTTTCTGAGATCTATACAATGGGCATGTATTACTTGCATCGTAGGAGACCAAGATAAAACTACTGATAAAAATTTTAAGGTAAGTTTGGTAGACAAGGACTACCCAGATCCTCCTTCAAAGAAGGACTTGGTGCCCAGCTATGGGCCATGTGGTCAGTAAACAGATTCCAGCTTCAAGGTCTGAATCAGCTGCAGAGAGTCACCTCACCCAAGGTTGTGCCCTTCTCGGACAGCCAACATCTGGTAGCAGGGGACACTGGCTGGACACTTTCGCCTGGCAAGGCAACACTCACTTCACAGCTCCTGCCAGATTGGCTGAGGCTCTGTCAGTCCAGATCACAATTCCACTTCTTCTTCTGTCCAGTCCTGCTTCCTTCTTCCTTTTACAGGGGATGGCCGGTTGTGCCGAGGCTCCCTGAGACCACCTGCAGTCTTATACTTTGCTGGGAGGACTCGCAAGAGGCGGCATATCGTCCTACTCACAACTACAATTTGTTACGGCAAAGAGACACACAGCAAAGCAAAGAGAAGCGATGAGTGGGGCAAATAAAGGCCAAGAAAAACCAGGCACAGGCTTCCAGAGTCCTCTCCCAGGGGAGTCACAAAAGACATGCCTAATTTCCCTGTCAAAGGGTGGTGACAACTCATGGGAAACGTCTTTTTACCAGGCAAGCTGAACAGGGACTTGGTGTCCAAGTTTTTACTCAGGGCTGATCACTTAGGTACCTTCTGTCTAACATGTACCAAAATTCCAGGCTCTCAGAAGAACAGCAGGTATTCAGCATAAACCATATTGTTAACACAAACTGTTCTGGAACACTAAGCCATTCTTATCAGTTTGGGGAAGGGGAGATACTCCTGAAATCTAAGTTCCCAGGCAACAGCCAGGGTGCCTTTTCAGCAGGTCTTTCTAAGAATAATAGTGTCGGGTCAGATATCAACTTTCTTCCACACACTGGTAAAAATAGTATACCCCAAATTCTGCCTCAGCATCTGTTTCCAGGAAAGTCAGCCTATGACAAGCTTAACTGAAAATGGCTACAGACCATGGGACCCCAAATGTATTACACAGCAGCTAGATGACAACTAGCCTGTTCCTCATTCCTGTGGCCACAATGCAGGGTGTCATCAAGGTGAGATTTTTCCGACAGACCAACCAGGTCAACCTGACCTTCCAGACTGTCAAAGCCAAGTTAGGTCAGAAAGGAGGAGCTTTGGTTCCAGTGTTTACTGGAACCTGAATAAAAGTGTAATACCACGTGTTGACATGTGATAAATCAGCCTCTGTCCAGAGAGGCTGCTATGAGAGGATGCTAGACAACCAGCTGTTTTCATAGGCTAACATCCATTAGCCCAAAAACGAAATCCAAGTTGTTCATTTGTTTTGGAAATATCCCTCTGATCCCTGAGTTCTGACTGTGTACCTACTAGATAAGAAAAAAAAATCAATAAAGTGGACAAATATGACAAGCATTGCATGGAGGCTACATGAAAAATATTGATGGAAAGGAAACCAACAACAAAAAAAATCTGCCTCTAAAGCGAACACAGGAGCCAAAGATCACCCATTTGTTTCCAAGTCTACTCTCTCAAGAAGGCAACAGCTGTTCTTACAGCTCTGGGAAGAGGGATGGGAAGTACAAGGGTCTGACAATTGATCTCCTACAACAAGATATGCTGAAATCCTAACCCCAATACCTAGGAGCGCAACCTCGTTTGGAAATTGTGTCTTTATGGAAATTGTGTCTTTTATAGATGCGATCAAGTTAAGATGAGGCCATATTAGCTTAGGGTGAGTCCTAAACCCAATGACTGTGTCCCTACAAGGAGAGAGATTTGCAGACACACAGAAGATGGATGTGTGAAGACAGAGGCTGATACTGGACTGATGGAGCCCCAAGAAATTCCAAGGATTTCCAGAGGCACCAGAAGCTAGGAAGAGGCAAGGAAAGATGCTCCTGTAAAAGAAACGTGGTCCTGCCAACAGCTTGATTTCAGACTTCTAGCCTCCAGAACTGTGAGAAAAGAAACATCTCTTGTTTTAACAGATCTCCAGGCTAGTGGTGATTTGTTATGGCAGGCTGAGGACACTAACAGTGATTTATGCACTTTATCTCATTCAATCTTCAGCACTCCTGTGGGGCATGTATTATCCTCATTCTACCGATAGACAAATGGAGATGCAAAGAGATAAAATAATTAAAGTTCACTGCTAAACGACACACAACTGAGTTAGCTTTGCTGGACTCCCACATTCCCCCTAGAGTTAGATACTACTTGCTGTCCAGGGAGCCGTGTGGTTTTCTATGACATTTTTAACCCCAATCTCCCACATCATAGTGGAAGTTACTTGTCTGACTGATGACAGCAGGAAACAAAAATCGGGATAGAACTAAATGTGGGCAGGATCCCTCTACTGTAAAAGGCAGGAACAGATCTCTCTCTCCTCTCTGTCTCACTCTGTCTCTCTCTGTCTCTGTCTCTCTCTCTCTGTCTCTCTCTCCCCCTTCTCTTCCTTGTTTTCTCTCTGCTCTCCCTGCCTCTCTCCTCCCATCCTCCCTCCTACCCTCCCACTCCACAAAGCAGAACTGGATAGCTGAGTCAGGCTACTCCCTTCTCTCCTCTTTCCACTCCCACCTTCTCTAAATCTGTATCTTGAGATCTTCCTCTTCTTTGACCAGTTGCGTGGCCAAGAGAATATGAAGTCGGAGGCACAAGACCCAGCCTAATGCTTAACGTAGCAACACACCTGCAGGCAGATCCTACCATTTTCCACCCTTCTTTCTAGCAACTCCTACTTTCTGACACCAAATGACTTAAGTAAACAGCGGTGGAACTCTTCTCTTTGGAGCAAGACTCTCGTGTTCTTCATTTAGCTGTGTTTCTAAAGTATGTGAGGCCCTGCCTCTACGACACCAGCGCAAGGCCTCTGCTCTTCAACGTGCTTCCTTCATGAAGATGGCCTAAGAAAAGTAAGGTCTCGATGTGCAGCTTTATGGGAAAGAGAAGGCGCCACAGGATCACCACCACTGCCATCACCATCAACATCATCACCACTCTGGTCATCACCGTCGTCACCATCACCACCACCATTTCAACGTCATCAGCGACCACCACCGTCACCGTTGTTCCCGTCATCAATATCAACACCATCCCCACCACCACCATCACCAAACAACAACGTCACCATCGCCATTGTCACCGTCGACTTCTTCACCACCACCACCACCATCACGGTAGCCAACACAGACTGAGCAGAGACTAAGTGTCAGAAATGGTTCCAAGTGCTTCACGTGTGTTAATCCATTTAATCCCCACCACAACACCCAGAGGTGGGTGCTTTGCAATCCCTAATTATCCGCTAGACTTTCTTTTTTTTTT